GACTCGGTCTGGGAATTTGTTGTTTTGCCAAATTTACCTCAAAACTAATGAAACATATCTGCATACTTTTTACACAGGATACATCAAATCAGTAAAGTAATATTTGGTATGATTGGTAAATGGTAGAAATTTGGCAATGTTTTCTAAACTGTCTTTCCTGACTTTTTTGTTGTCTTCATTGAAAAGAGAATGACAATTTCTTATTTCAGTTTTGAATGTTTTTGTTTCATTAGAAAATGGGAAAAAGAGGTCTTACAAAGTAAAAGTAGCAGTTATGATCCAAGCCTGCGGTGGGCTGTAGCCCGCTTTATATGGAAACCTTTGATGATTACAGCTCTCTTTGCTTTTGTTGAGGTGATTATTAATTTCTTACTAATTAGTGAATAATGTTTTATTTGGCAAAATGTTTTCATTTAATTGTATTTGTCATTTGTAAGTTGAAATTTGTTCCATACACAAACAAATATATTCAATTCAAATTCGCTTATAATAAATATTGATATTTTTTAGGACAAGATTTTACACATTTCTGCCAAATACTGTAGCCTTAACATTTGACATACTTAACAAATTATTTCCCAAATTTCATTTTTTCTTAGATATACAGTACTTACACATGTATATTTAGATTGTAAATTTTTATGATGCTAACTTCCTCAACTACGGAAGGTCATGGGCGTTTATGTGTGTAATAAAACACTGATTGCGACATTGTTTACAATGAAATGAAAGACCAAGGAAAAATAAGCTGCCTTGCTATTGTACTTGTAACATTTTACTTTTCATGTCCCACTTAATTATACCTTAATCTGATGATATTTTTCATTCATTATAGGAATTTAGTAGAACGATACAACCACTGTTTGTGAGCTATCTCGTCATGTACTTCACCATGGACTCAGATATAACAACCCAGGAAGCTTACGTATATGCCACTGTCATTGTGTTGTTTTCCATTGTTGCAGTAACAGCACATCATCCTTTTTTTTTCTACTCATCACTATTGGGCATGAGGATACGAGTTGCATGTAGTGGTCTTATTTACCGAAAGGTAAACATTATTATGTAGACAAAACTGTGTATTTTTCTTGTCGAAATGGCATATTCAATGATTGAGAACTTTAGAAAGTCCTTGAATTTTATTAATCTGTGCAAATTTTACTCATAGACAGTCAAAAAGCATTAGAAAATATATATACCCATGTACAGTTATTCATTGTGCTAATCATAGTGGAGAGCTCAGGATGTTTTGATTTTTCACAGTCGATGGATGACTATTAGCTGTAAATGAATTATTATGATAGAGAATGCCATATTGAAATAATTGGCAACAACATTGCCCAAAATACAACACTTTCTCCAAGTTTATATGTACTGATGATAAATTCATCTTATAAAAATTAGAATTCTATATTTTATCTGGTGCAAGAAATGTACTGTAGCCAGTGGTCAGTTGTGGGCCCATGAGTTCGATTCTCAGGGTCCATCATTGTTGGCCACTAAATCCTCTCTCACAAGATCAAGATGTCACATAATGAATGTAGGTACCAAACTGATAAATAATTAAATAATATCATAAGCTTATTTTGGTATTTGAATCAGCTTCCTAATCGCTAGATTTGATTAGTCATGTTTGACCTGTGGCTACAGTGAGATGATAATAATTGTCAACCCAAGGTCAACCCATTGTCAACTTGAGTACTTAACCTGGTTTGAGTTGTGAGTTGAGAGTGATTTCTAACCAGTATTGAGTTACTGTACCCCTGGCTGGGTAAACATGTAGATTGCCATTGGCAAGCCTTTTTTGCTAGTGCCGTCCCATACGCCAAGGTATAAAGGGTGCCACCGTAATGTAAATCACCATTCCTCTTAACTGCAATGAAACAAAAAAAAACATTGGTATTTATTTTTATGACATTATTTCCGGATTCTTCCGTGAACATCCAGGACGAGGGTTTGTGCTTTGGCGACCACTGTCAACGAGTTGGTGTGCAATACAATAGTGGTATGTTTGGACAGGTGTGGTAGTAAACTCACATCCTTCGTGCCCTGCGTAAACTCGCATCTCTGGTAGTAACCACGAACATGTTAAGACTACAGATAACTCAACTGGACTGAGCTTGGCTTGACTTTAGACCGGTCTTAGTCTGTGTTCAGTTTTTTTTATAATTGTATCAGGCCAGATGTGAGTCAACCAAGACTGGTTCAAACTTTATACTGTGTGTACTTTAACCAGACTGAGTCAAACCTGGCTTTGCCCTCTATACTGACTACATCAATTGTCTCTTTTATTTATAAACAATATTGTTCTACTTTTCTCAATTGACTTCATTTTAATGCAATTGTTCCATCATCTCATTCCTGCAGGCCCTCAGGTTGAGTAGTACAGCTTTAGGAAAGACAACAGTTGGACAAATCGTAAACATTTTGTCAAATGATGTAAACAGATTTGATCTGGTAAGTTTCTGGTCTGAATTACAGTATGCAAAAGATAAAAAAGCATAGTCATTATATTATTAATAGTATAAAGCAGATATGTAGAAGATAAAAAAGAATAAAAAATAGTTATGTGCATAAATATTTTTCTTTGAAATAATATTTCACTACTGAGATTGTGTTGTGTATCTTCTGGTCAAAAAGTAGAACAATTTGATTTGATTTACCTGATAAAATAACAGTCTATGGGAGGCAAGCCTGTCGCTCCTCCTGGAAACTGGGCTTGTCTAGACCTTGTTAGAAATATGCATTAAATGTATTAAAGTCTAATATTCAAGACAATCTGTGTGAAAGACATTCCCCCAAGTTTGTGATGATTTTTTGGATGTTGGATGTAAGATGGCTCCTCACTGTATTTACCATTTTTACCATCATTACTGGCAATCCAAGCAATTCATGTTTGATAACTACTGTTAAAGTATGTAATTCAACTTGTATGTTCTGGTATTGGGTTAATCCAATTGAATAGTGTTCAAGTGTCTGTTCTTGGATACACCTGTGGCTGCTACTGCCTTCTAAGATACTTGCCTTGTAATCTTAGGGTCATGGGGTTCCTGTGGCTGCAAGACTTTTACTGATGACTAAAAGCAACTCTCTAAGCCACATAAAGAGACAATAGTTCGTCTCCTGTAATTGGCAAGTTACTTGCTTTTGGATGCGAAAGAAATAAAGAAAACTATTACTAAAAAATATAGATTTCAGCACATATGTGCATGGATAAACCTTATTCATTTTATTCCACATGTGGTGTGCCATTCTAGATCACGGGTGTAGGATTATACCTGTATTCATATGGTACGATCTAGGTAACATATCTTTTACTTTTCAAGATATGATTGTTCTTTAATCACAGGCGATGCTTTTTGTCCACTACCTCTGGATAGCTCCATTACAGTTATTTGCTGTTACTGTGTTGCTATGGTATGAAATAGGCCCATCATGCTTTGCTGGTGTGTTTATCGTTCTGCTTATGGCTCCACTACAAGCATGGTTTGGAACACTTTTTACAAAATTTCGGTATGTCGTGTCTTTATATCAGAGTTGCTTTATCAGCGGTACTGTATTTTGGTGGTTAACACGTTGATTGCCAGACCAGTTTTTTTTAGGTTCCTTCATGTATTCCGGAACAAGTATACATGTACAAACATTTTTGAAGTTAATAACTTTGGAAGCCTTAAAATTATGTTTATTTTGCATCTTAAAAAGAGTGCTGTACTTACATTCCCCAATTACCAAATCTTAACCCTCTGGATACCTGATTCTTTTGTAGCGCAAACCCTTGAATACCGGATTCTTTTGCATTGTAACAAGGTTTTTTTTTTGCGTTTTTTGAGTATACGTCGATCTGGTGGATTTTTGGGAAATTTCTGTAAATTATACAGAAAAATGTTTCCAAAAGCAAAGAAAGCTTATAGAATAAGCTTTCATTTGATGTATACATTATATTTTTAGGATTTTTCTTTTTCATAATATAATATAATATAATATATATATATAATATAATAGAAATGACAGAAAAATTCTACATATAAATCGTCAGCAAAAACCAAAAAAAAAAAATAATAGCCAAAAAAATAAAAACAATTATAAAACATTCCTTAACCACACAGTTATATAATTTACTTACACAACCATCCATAACTATAAGCACGATCTTTCCATTCAAAAGCGTTGACCACCCTTACATTTCTAGGCCTAGGCTCATCTTCATCAAGAACATCTCTGTCATCAGAACTGCTTGAAGCCCCACCGTCATCATCGCTAACAGGCACATCTAAGTCTCGCACATCTAAAAACTCACCTTCATCGCTGTCTGAATCAAAAATCAGGTCAATCGCTTCCTCAGCTGTGTACACATCTTGTGCGGCCATTTCGAAAAATTTAAAAAAAAATGAATTTTGAAAGAAACAAGCTTCACGCATGCGTGTTCAAAATTTTGGAGCTAAAATAAAAACAGGAGCGATTTGAAAACCACCTATTTTTTAGTGCGGTCGAAAATGGGAATTCTCGGTTTGAGATCAATTTTGATTAAAGTTGAAGACGGTATCTAGAGGGTTAAAATGTCTAATTTCAGAAAAATACCAATAACATTTTCTACAACTTAGACAAAACTTTTTTTTAGTCCTTGTTTCATGTACTTATTTTTTAAAGATTATCGGAGGAGGGCGGAATAAAAAAAGAAATAAAATTTTGTTTTCTTATTTAGCAAATATTTTTGCCAAAATCCTCCAGATCTTGATAAAAATAAAGAAAAACTTTTATTTTTTTTCTGAAATTACCACTTTTTCGTGGCGGCCACGCAGGTGTGCTAATTGGCCATAAATAAAATGTTATTTTTATTCGAAATCATCAATACTTGCAGTCGGTGGGTTGGGTGGGTATAAAAAAAGTCTTGCCTTAGCCATTTTGCCAAAAAATGCCTCATTTTATTTCTTTGTGGCAAATACTGTAACATGATATAACATTTTTTATTTTTTTTTATACAGATCAAAGACTGCTATCTTGACTGATGAAAGAATTCGCATTATGAATGAGATTATCGCTGGAATGCGAGTTATCAAGATGTACGCATGGGAAAAACCTTTCAGTTACCTTGCATCCGAGTGTAGAAGGCAAGATCTCACTACTCACAATTTTATCCCTTATGCTTAATATTGCCAATTCACTTTAATCAACAGCCCATGAATTTCATATCAGCAATCGGCAATTGCTGACCAAGAATTGCCACAGGATGGCAATTTTTTGCCAACCTAGGCCTAGGTTTCTTTGCTTCAAAAACTTCTTGGAAAGTCAAAACTTGACTGAAACAGTCTATAGCAGATACGAAATTTCACGTATTTAATAGGCATACGTACCATGTGTGTCTTGTTTAAACACAAACATGATTGCATCTTGACTTCACTACTGTCAAGTACATGTGTACATGTGTGGAAAATCCCAGATAGATCGTTCTCGGCATGTGCATGGACATGCATGTGCAGTTTTGAAGCACAGACAACCTGTGATGATACGATTGTAGCTTTTATGAAAGTGCTATTTCCCATGCTAAAGATAACGTTAAAAGGACAATTCTTTGGCGATTTTCTTATTTAAAACATATATATTATACTACACTATTAAAATAATACAAATACAACCATTCTTTCACCAAGTTCGGTAAATTAATAGCATAAATTTCTTCAATAGAGTCTTTTAGTGCATATAGGGTAGATATTTTTTATTACCACCACCACAGGGTATACAAGTAATCACTATTACCACCATTATCACCATTGAAGGTTGTGGATACGATAATAAGTAGTTATTAGTTTTAACTAAGTTACATTACATTTTCATTAAACTGATGTTCATATTTCCAGGCGTGAAATCAGGAAAATTCGCAAGAGCTCACTGCTTCGTGGATCGAACCAGGCATTCTTCTATGCAGCCACTAGTCTTGTTAGTCTAGCTACATTTGTTGTTTATTCACTTACTGGTAACACACTGACAGCAAGTAAGGTGTACCTTGTGATACCGTTGTACAATGCTGTACGACTCTCTGTAGTGATTTTCCTTCCAAATTGCGTAATGACGTTAACAGAAAGTCTTGTTTCCTTGCGTAGAATAAAGGTTAGTTTTTCTAAACTTGTATATCATTTCTAATTTTAAAAAAATTGAAATATGTTATGCAATTGCAATGTTATTATTATTTTATATTTGTTTAAGAGACAGATATATATATATATATATATATATGTCACACTTGGGGGTACTGATGTATTTGGCCACAGAGCTAGGCAAACTGAGGGTGTCTTTCCACACCTCGCCCCCCCATTCTTCCCTCCCCTACACAAGCTGGATTTGCCACTGCAAGGCTTATTTTAATAAAGAATGTTGTAAAACAATACAAATCAGTGTTTTTTAAATAGTCCAACTGCGCTAAATCTTCCTAAGCCTAGTGTATTTTCTAATGTGCATCTAGGCCTACCTTCTAGGCCCCTAGACCTTGATTTATGGCAATATGCAGTACACTTACATAGGAAAATTGTATATATAGAATAGAAAACCTACAGTAAGTGGAATTTAATTTGCCCCAAAGTTTACGTATAGATGAGATCTTTCAGACTTAACCCTCTTACAAACTAGTATGTACATTATATATAAATTTTGAATGTTAAAGAAAAGTAATCCACATTTTTGTTTTAGGAATTTTTGTTGTTAGATGAGCTTGACCAAGCTGCTCTTGAGGCTCAACATAGCAACCTTCGACCTAAGCCAGAGGATGTGCAGGTGGCAGCTGAGGATGTTTCAGCATCTTGGGATCAAGTGAGTCAGTGGTGTTAGTTACTATTTTATTAGTTTTAATTACACTTCGCAATGTCTGTTACATCTTATTTCTTTCTATAAACTACAATTTGATTCGTGAAAATTGACCTACAAAATGAAAAGTTATAGTAATTGAAAATTTACGATTTAAAAAAAATTCATGTTCTTGTATAACATTAAGCTGTCATTTGATTAGATACAGACAATTTTTTTTTTTCTGCGAAGTGTGTCTCATGAACCACAACACACCACAACTTCGGTAAAATTCACAGCCCATGAAATTAGGAAAAAATTAGGTTGGCAAAAATTTGCCGACCTTTAATTCCCTGAGGTCGGCAGTCTCGACAATTTTTTACTACCTAGGCATATATATAGTATAAACTATGATTTTTCCAAACGCTCGACCTTACATGTCAGATACAGATTGTGATTTTGTTAATTTCTCTATTAAATCAATATATTGCTGGTGCTGCCTAGATTGACTAACACTTATCTGAACTTGTCTTTATTGTAAAGTAGTATTATCATATTAAAAACGTTGTTTATTATAAAACAAAAAAAACAACCTAATTCCACATACGGCCTATTGCCTAATTGTTTAAACACAAACAAATCGCGTTGTGGCTTCGCTGTCAAGAAGTACATGTGGTGAGGAAATCAATATATATCGTTCTGGGCATGCGCATGGACATGCATGTGCAGTTTTGAAGAAAACAGTTTGTGTGAATCAAGCTAAGTGTTTTGAAATTGCCGACCATATTGCTGAATTCATGTTGAAATACCGAATATGTTGTATGTTTGTGCAAAAAATCACTAAACCTTTGTAGTCACTGCAAGACACGTGATTATCGTGGCAACTGTCACGCATGTAGGTAATTCATCACACACTGACAGTTAATTTTTGTTTGGTTGCTAGGCTTTTTTGGCAAACCAAGGAATAGCTACCATTCAGGCATGCTACCATTAATTTCTCAAAAATATAACTTTGAAACTAGCAGTCATTGAGTTTCATATTCTATATTATTCATTAGGTTGATGGGGAAAGTTCCTTCACAATGGTTCTAGAGAATATTGATTTAAACGTAAAATCTGGGGAGCTGTTGGCAGTTGTTGGACCAGTAGGCTGTGGAAAGGTAGGTTTAACATGTATCTAATATTACTTCTAGTTTACTACATTAATCTGCCATGCCTAGGCCTAAGCTAGATATATCTATACATTTATTTGAAAGGAATCATTATTTAAAATAAGCTTAGCTCAGTCAGCTAATATGGTGGTAGCTACTGTGTGTGCACTGAACCGTGGAGATCTCTAAGTCCCTGGTTCAATTCCCATCGCTGCCTCTCCTTGTGTTTCAGCTTGAGGGCTGAAATACAAGTTACAATAGCGCACCGTCTGTTGGACTGTTGGTCCCGTGTGCATTGATGGCCCATGTGCACATTAAAGAATGCAGTACAATCTTCGGAAAAGAGTAGAGGATTCTCTCCCGGTGCACAGCCCAATCAAGTCTTCTTCTAGACTTTTGTGGGCTATCCTTGGTGTTTACACCGAATAAATCAAATCGAATATACCTGTTGAGGATAATGATGTTGAAATAAAACCATATAATTTTATTTTTTTGTAGTCTTCTCTATTGATGGCGATTATGGGAGAGGTCCCTCACATAACTGGGAAGGTAAAAGTGTCAGGCCGGCTAGCCTATGCTTCCCAATTGCCTTGGATTTTCTCAGGCACTGTTAAGGATAACATCCTATTTGGCAAACCATACAACAAGCAGCAGTTTGATCATGTCGTTGAAGTATGTGCTTTAAGAAGGGTAAGTATTGGGT